GCCTGCCCACTGCCACCCAGGAGCAGGCCTAAGCCAGCAGATCGTTATCTCCTGAGGGGTCCCAGACTGCTAGAGGGCACAGGCCGGGCTGAGGGACCCCCCTCCCCCTCGAGTGCACAAATTTTTGTGCACCGGGCCTCTAGTATATATATATAATCACATAATTTTAAATTCCTAATGGAACATTTTTGAACCCTTCCCAAAATACTACCAGCTACAGGGTCTCTCATTCTCTTCTAACCCTTCATATACCCTCCTCTTAGAGTAATTTAGAGCAACTTCTCTAACTTATAATTGTCAATCTTCCCATAGAGTTTTGAAGCCTAGCTTCTCTAAGTGGGTTTAGCAAAGCAAGCCTGGCCCTGGGAAAGGATTCTCTTGTTCCCCTGCCCCTCATCATCTTATTTTTATTATTACATTCCCAATTCTCTTTTTTTCCAGGGCAAATCTCTCTTATGAACTCTTGTTCTCTATACTTAGTTGCCACCTGCCTTCTCTGCCTGGATGTCCCATAGGCACTTTATTTTATCATGTCTCAAATCAAATTTGCATTCTTTATTTTCTTTCAAATTCTATTCCTCCATTGTATCTTTTATTTCAAAAAGGGTACCACCATCCACCCAGGTACTCTAAGGCAGAAACCAGGAACCATCCTTGACCCTTCTCTCCCTTCTCACACCTTCTGCACTGGTAAGCATTTTGAGGAGGAGCAACATCTCCCAAATTTTACTTCTATACTCTTGGGTGTTTACCTACTATTTGGCGAATTAATTAAAGTGCTTGATAAGAGCTTTTTCTTTTTTTTTATTTGAGATCAGTGATAAGAGCTTTTTCATTGAAAGAGTTAAAAGAACTCATTGTGCTAAGTTTCTGGATTTGTAATGCAAAAACCAGATTTATTTAAAAAATGCAAAAACTTTTATTTGTACACACAACGATGAAGGAGAGCAGTCTTCTGTCAAATGGAGAACATTGAGATTTTTAAGTAGCTGATTTGGGACCTACTACAATGGGTGGACTTGCTTTGTTGCCTTCAGATGTTAGGTCTCTTTACCTGACACTTCAGCAGGCTTTTAAAATGTGTCTTCTGCTTGGGCCTGCTTTTCTAATCCCCTATGATATACAAGCTGGTGCTCTAGTCAGCCCGTGTTCCTCTTCTGTTTATCCAGCTACTTTTCCGGGAAGCGTGAGAGATTGGTTTCACTGTTGGCAGAAACCACTGTCTTCAGGTCTAACAGGAGCTTGTTTAACTTGTTCTCCAAACTCCAGAGCAGACTCTAGAGCTTGTATGCCAGCTCCCCAGTTATTTATATCAAGCCTGTTAATCACTGGAAGGCAGGTTTTACCCCCACGTTTTCTTAGAGGTCTTAGGAACTGTTTGACATGTTCCCTTTGCAAAAAGAGGTGTCTTCATTGTAATAACAGGCCGTAGATAAAGAAGCATCACTGATACGCAGCTCATAAGATGCCACGTGATTAATAGCAACCCTACAATCTTCAGAGATGAGGCCCTGGACCTGGGATGCCATCTCAGCTTTGGGGGAAAACTAACAGTGCTTAAACAGTGCTACTTTTTCTAACAGCTTGACTTTTTATACAGTACTTTAATATACCTTACATATTTACAACACTTTGCAACACATTTTCACATTCATAAACAGAGGAGAAGGAGAAATTATACTATTTTAGAGGTATGGAAATGGAGATTAAGTAATTTGCCACCAGGCCATATGATTAGCAAAAGACGATTATAATTACATA